CCCAATCACACCTTTGACTATACATACAATCTTAGGCATTCCTCTTGGTGGTTTCCAATACAAACGGAACCTACCACAGAAACTTCTGACTTCATAAGAAAAGAAAATAACATGGAAACCCCCTCTGTAGAGTATCTTTTCTCACTTCTTTCTGAGAATCTAGAAGAAGACAGATTCTGTAGGGTATTCATGCTTATTGTGCTGTCAGTTTTTATTGCTCCAAATTCACAAGGAGTTGCTAGCAGGAAATCCTATAGTGCATTAGTGAACATTGAAGCTGTTGCCAAACATGACTGGTTCTTGTTCACCATCAGTTATCTTGTGTACTCAATCAACAAAGCCCGAATTGGAAATACTAATGCCAAAGATATATTCCCCAAAGGATGCAAGCTAGCTTTGGTGGTGAGTCATTGTAAATGAATTTAAATTTTGTTGCATACATTCAAATTATCTGTTTTTTAAATGACTTTCTTAAACTTCATCTTGTATTTATTCAACTCCTAATGCTTCTTTTCTATTTCAATGGTTTTTCAGATATCTTACTTCGAGTTCCTTATAGCTCCTGGTTTTTCAATTCCAAATAGTCTCCCTAGACTACCAATTTGGACATCTAACTTGTTGAATTCATACATGGCACTTGATGCACTACATGGGAGTAGTAATCATTTTGGAAGACTACCGGTATGTTATGTGTCTCCGCTTTTTAAAATGTAGTTCTATTTCTTAATAGGAAAAAGACATGAAGCCTACTGTGTTCAACTAGAAGTTTTGAATCCTTCTTTTCTAACATGACAAAACAGCTAAAACACATTACTTGCACACCATTCAATGATGGAACAAGTGTGTACTCTTGCAAAATTCCATAAGAAGTTCAACTACATATTGAGTCATGTTTCCCAACAACAGGTCAAACTCAAGTTAGTGCACTATGATACTTTCTTTTTAAATTATTTACCTGAGCATTATCTATTCTCAGCCTACAATACAAAATCTAACATTTTTTTGGTGAATTCAGGACAAGATGATAATTGAGTACAAAGCAAAAACTTTCTTCCAGAAATGTGTTCAAAACACTTTGCTACCTTTGCCACTATCTCTCTATTGTTTGTGTATTCCTACAACCCGATCAGCTTCAAATACCTAATCTGACAGACAATTCGTGGTAAATTCGATTATTAATGTCCCTATTGTTGCATTAATTAATTATTTATAGAGATTTCTTTATCATAGCTGTTATATTCTTCCTTGCCCATAAATTAATATTTTGTTTAATGATATCAAGTATTCTTATCTGGCAGATCAGGCTGGTGATGATGGCCATCTGGATGAGCAGGGGCATGATCTTTACAACGAAGCACAAAGTTTATGAGTCATTCTTAATAAAGAGTCATATCTAACTATCTAAGGTGTGCCTGATCATACTAAATGTTGTTCCCTTGTTTCCTTGACATATAGATGGTTTTCTTTAACATCTCATCTCTTAGTCGTGTGATAGCTACCATTGATGAAGTTACCTGATGGTGAAAATATGCAGAATGATATTTCAGTGGCTGAAGTGCTAGAAGAACCAGGAAGTTACTAGCATCAAAAGGAAAAGAGAGCAAGGCGATCTCAAATGTGTAAAATCATATTACCAAGTTAGAGATTACTAGGAGTTGTTTGTGCTATTTTTTTTTCAGATTACATTGTTGAGTGGCTTTTTTCTTTCTTTCTGGGAGTATGTCTCAACATGCAGCCTATTGTTGTACCAAATTTTTTTGTAATCTTTCTATTTCTGTATATTTATGAGACCATTTATTTCATTCTACAGTTATGCATGCTCCTGTCTGTGCTCCAGCAACATA